TCGCCCCTGTCTCCATGTCGCCCCTGTCTCCATGTCGCCCCTGTCTCACTTCACCATGGGCGTGCAGGGCTGTGCTGCCCACACAGCCGGTTCTGCTCTCCCGACTGGTGGCACCAGTTCTGCTGGTCTGATCCGTGCTGCTGCCTGGGCTCTCACGCTGCCTCTCCCCTGCCCGGGGCTCCTTTGGTTCTGTGTCAGGCGTTGGGAATGGCCCGGCTGCGTGGAACGGGGCAGTGAGCGCTCCGAATGTAACAACCTGTCCTTCTCGCCGTTCGGTTCCAGCTGCCCTCCCTCCCGCAGCCCCTGCTGCCACTTCTCCTGCCGCAGCGCCAGGTACTCAGAGCTCCTCAGTAACACCCCGTGTGTCACATTAACCACAGCGTGCTGTTCTGGATGTTTGTAGTTGCATTAACCCTGCTGGTGTGCAGAGGGAGAACTCTGGGTCCTGGCCCTGTCCTTGCTCAGAGGAGCCAGGCAGGCTTCCTCCTGGTGCTCCTGGGAGGCTGCTGGGGGAGGCTGGCTGCCTGCTGCTCTCCAGCTCCCTCTGTGTCATCCCTGAGCCTGGAACCGCTTCCCAGCGCTGGGGAGTGCTGGAGCCCGGGGTGGGGTCCCTGAGAGCTGCCGGGGCATTGTGCCCCTGGGGGCTGGAGCTGTGTGGAGCCCAGAGCCAGAAGGCGGACGGCGGGCTGTTGTGGGTGTGCGTGTGTTTCTTCCTGTGCTGCCCTTGTTTTCTCCTTTTTTCTCATGGGTTCACTTTGTTTCTTTCCTTCAGCTGTTCTTCCTGCCGCTCATTCCCTGCCTCTGACTCCAGCCCTGGGCCCAGCTGCCCAGGCTGTTCCCACGGAGCCGCCCAGCTCTGCCCCAGCCGTGCCCCCAGCCCCTCTCTCCCCTGCTGTGGTCCCAGCTGCAGCAATTCCTGTCTTCTCTGCCCCTCCCCAGCCCTCTGCCCCAGCTCTGCCCCTCCCAGTTACTTCTTCCCCTCCTCCAGCTCCAGTTCCACCATCCCCAACTGGTTTTGCTGCCCAAGGTTCTCCAGGGCCTGCTGCTGTCCCAGTCAGCCCAGTGTCTCCAGGACTCCCGGTCCCAGCGTCTCCAGTTCTGGCTGCTCTTCCTGCTGCAGGACAGGCAGCCCCCCCGGCAGCCCCCCCATCTCCAGCGAGTCTCGGCTGTCTCCCAGCTGCTCTTACGCCTCCTCTGAAAGTCTCTACTCCTCCCAGCCCCGCAGGAGCCACAGCGGCCCCTCACCCTGTGCCTCCCAGGAGCCCCGGGGCAGCCCCAGCTGCTCTGCCACCTCCCCTGGCAGCAGCCCCTGCAGGTGCCGCAGCTCTTCCCCAGAGCCCCCCTGCGATGCCAGTGCACCCTGCTGCACCTCTGCCCCCTCCAGCTGCCCCGCTGAGCCCAGCCCTGGCAGCCACCATCTCCCCACCCATCTTCCTGTCTGCCCCCATGGCGCTGGCCCCTCTGCTGCCAGGTGGCACAGTCCCCTGCAGCGCTGCTGCTCCCCTGCGGGGCCCTGTGTCTGGGACTCCCATCTGTCCGCTGGCTCCGGCTGCTCCTCCTGGGACCCTGACCTGTCCTGTGGGCCCTGCCCTGGCAGCCCCTGGCTCCCCTGCAGGTCCCCATTCTGTGGCCAGGCCCCCCCCTGGGAGCCCGATTCCTGTGTCAGCCCCTGTCCTGCTCAGCCCATCCCCAGCAGCTGCCTTGTCCCCCTCAGGGCCGCCACCAGCAGCAGCAGCTCCAGTTAAAGCAGCTCCAGCGACCCCTGTCTCACTGCCAGCTGCTGCGACTGCTGCTCCTGCCAGTCCCCTGCCTGTCACATCAGCGATGGCAGCTCCAGCCACCTCTCCTACGGCCAAAGGAGCACCCCAGAGCCCACTGCCTGCTCCACTGACTCCCTCTGCCCCTGCTGCACCAGCTCCCGTGGTTCCTCCAGCCTCTGCTGCCACCAAAGCAGCTCCCCAGAGTCCTGCTGCCACTCCAGCTCCTGCAGCTGCCCCTGCTGCCACCAAAGCA